GCCCCCCCCCCCACCCTTATTAATCCTGTAATATTACGTTTTTCGCGAATAATAATAATATGACATTTATATAGCCCAAATCGGAGTTACAATCACTCTTCTATGCACTTTACTTTTGAATTATTAATTATAGTATTCATGAAAAACATGCATACACACATGTGACATAATAATTAACTACGGTACAAGCAGAACTTATCCAGAAAAAGTTACGGTGTCATTTTACCACTTTAACCGCACCGGTGTAATCAAAGTTAGACTAGATCTACATGTCATGTAGCCCAGATATCTACCAGTGTATAAAGTGCGAGATGACACACATATACATGTATATATATCGTGCTTGCCGCTCGAGGTCCACTGTATCGCCACAATGCAGTGCTTACAGCTCGAACTTACTGAAAGTGAAAAGTGTAGTTACTCTTTGTAATAACTTATATTTTCTTTGATTATTTTTTCACCTTACAAAAGTGTAATCTTACATTGGTTCAAACCCCCCCCCCCCTTTTTTTTTTTCGAGGCGTAAGATGATAGATGTATTATTTGAACATCCCCTTTAGGGGTTTTCGGGGTGAATCGATCCATGACTAGATCTACGACCCTCCTAGCCTAAGATTTAACATAATCTGTATCTGCTACGGAACCAAGCAAGGTAAGTATTCAGACGACCGTGTTTACGATTGATTTACTCTAGATCTAGATCTAGCTAGCCTAGAAGATGATTCAGTCCATACAAGACTATTTGGTTGATTTGCTCGCCAGATTGATGGTGCAAAGCGGCTATCGTGGCTCAAGTCGATCGCGTCCGACTCGTTTCAAAACAAACACGTTTTCAGGCGACGAGTCGGGCGATCAACCCGACCTGACTTGACCCGCCAGGGTCACTGGGCGGCGGCGGGCACCCCGTAGTGCAAAGGAGCGAATTGTCCGCCTTGGCGTCGTAACTTTTATTCGCGGAAAATTTTTTTAGGTGTTTTTGATGAAATTTTATTATTATTTTCCCAAATTTTGCGGGAAATTGGCAAAAATTCGCAAATTTGTGAAAATGGTAAAAGTTGTGCAAAAGTTGCGCTGAGGGCAAAAGTTGGGTGCGCAAATTTCTCGGTTTATTTTTTTGCGCTTTTAGTTCTGCAAAAAATTTAACATTAAAGCTTGTACACAGTCAGCTACCTTAGGTTCTGCATTCTTGTCAAAAGATCTCTTGACCGAGGGTTTTACTTAATTATCTTGTCTTTTGTTTGGAAAAATGTTGGACGAGTGTGAAAAATATTCTTTTAACAGGGTTGTAAATGAAAGAAAGAATGTTTTACGATGTTCGCAACTGAATAAGGTCATATGAGGGCGTGGGACACATTAAACTTTTTCAGTTGATAGGAAATTTTGAATTTTGCCTGGGTGGCGGCCGAAGCCTACTCTTCAATTTTAGACCACTAAGGGATCTTTAACACCTTAACCTCTAGGCCACGAGAGCCCCCCCCAAATTCTTTTCTTATCTCGAGTGACATATAAAATAGTGTACCGATGACATCGGGTTACAAATTTGTCAAATCCAAAATTTCTCCTTTTAAAAAAAAATGTGTTTGTTTCCTTAGTTGTTAGATCTTCCGCAAGTGAAATCCTTTCATTCATATCCTTCAAACACATCAGCAAACCGGGTGAGTAGGTATTGATTTTTTGTGTGCTTTATTTATGTCCCCCCCCCCTGAAAAAAATTACCTCAAGTGGACTTGACTGGCTTGTGTCTGACAGCATTGACATGTAAACTATGACATTTTCTTCTTTCTTTTCTTATCCCTGGCAATATTTGATACGATTTGCTGTATGGAAATATAAATGTCTATCTGTGGAATTATCTCGTTTCAGCGGCTCTCGCACGGGGTCCATCCACCAGCACGACGTACGAGTGGCCAACCACCAGGTGGCGACGCTGCAGCACCACACGCAGGAAGTGTGCGGGCTGCGCTGGTCCCCGGACGGCCGCCATCTTGCCAGCGGAGGCAACGACAACATCGTGAACGTGTGGGGGGAGCGCAACAGCGCGGGCGACCCTCTGCACACCTTCACCAGCCACCAGGCCGCTGTCAAAGTAAGTTGTAAGGTTTTTGTCAGTGCCGTGCACATCGGCCCAAAGTTTAGTTGTGGGCGGCAGGCCGGTGCTCTGGTGCGGTTTGCTTCTTCTTTCCTGTGAACATCTATCGTCCTTATCTCCCCTTCTTCTTTTTTATGTTTGTTACTCTCTTGTTACACCTCTAATCTTCTGGCTACCCCCCGGGGCACTGACTGAAGTGTCTTTAGGCCATTCCCAAAGGGCGGACATACTCGTTCAAGCATAGTAGAATTGTAAATGGGCTGACTCATGTCACGCTCATAACTGTGCCTGATCTACTACAGGGAACTGCTGCTTTTTCTTTCCTGATCCTTACTATTGTCATTTTCCTCTACTTCTTTTGTATGTTTGTTACTCCTTTGTGACCAGCTATTTTGGGGTGCCTTGATAGTCGAAGCAGACCTTGTGCCGTTTAAGCTAGAGAGGTGAGCAGTCTAAGTCTGATTCCCTGTAAGGACTTCTCTGTTGACACCCACCCCTTGGCGCTCATATGACCTTATGCAGTTGCTAGCGCCGTAAAACCCTCTACTATTTAAAAAAAAAAAAAAAAAAATCTTCTGGCGCTTATATGACCTTATGCATTTGCGAGCGCTGTAAAACCTCTACTTTAAAAAAAAAGAAAAAAAAAGTTTAGTTAACAGGGATGCCAAATCTCCGTTTTTTCAGGCTTCTTCCTGTTTTTTCATCCGTTCATACACTTGCAAAAGAAAGGGGAGAGGTAAGAGATTTGTTTTTGTTTGCTCATTTAAAATCTCCACAGGGTTCATTTTAGGTGAGATGTGATGCTCCGCTCATTTTCAGTTGTTTTAAAAAAATCATTTGGCATCCCTGGTTAAATCCGTGTTTAAATGGTTTCAATCAGTTGAGGAAGGCCAACTTTTCCCTCCTGGGGGGGGGGAGGGAACTTACCTTTTTGTCACAATTTGATCAAATCTTCCACAAGCGAATATGCTTGATTTTGTAGGTCTCCACTGGGGTTCAGTTGAGCCAATCACAACACTAGCACATGTCACATGACATTACAGAGTCAAATCTTTTGTTTGTATATATGGAGTACGACGGGCTACAATCTTTTGTTTTCTTTTAGTAGTAAGGTTTTACTGCGCTCGCAACTGCATAAGATCTTATGAGTGCCAAGGGGTGGATGTCATCAGAGAAGTCCAAACGGGGATTCAGGCTTACTCAACTGCAAGCTTTAATAAATTTGTCAATAAACGTAGTTACTTTTTGCAAATGTTGTGGTTGCAGGACACTACTGATAAGTCACACATGTTTGTTTTCTTTCTATTTTTTCTGCTTGTCTAGTTTACTTTTCCCCTGCACCAAATGACCCTTATCATATCGATGTGCTTTTCTTTAATCAAACGTTTAACCCCCCCCCAAAAAAACAACAACAACAAAAACCCAAAGAAAAACCCAATAATGTGTGTGTGGTTGGTGGGTGTTCGAGTATGGTTTGCTCCTTCTTTCCAGTTAAACACCTGTCTTCCTTATTTCTCCTTCTTTTTTTGTTTTTGTTTCTGTCTGTCTTGTAACACCTCTGATCTTCTTCACTTATTTGACTACGTTGTGCTGCAATAGCCACAAAACTTATCAAAGCTTAAAAAACCCCGCCCTAATGCTAACTGCTTCCAATTGTAATGTCTTTGAACCAGGCAATAGCGTGGTGTCCGTGGCAACCTTATCTGCTGGCCACAGGAGGAGGGACCGCTGACAGGCACATTCGTCTCTGGAACGTCCAGTCCGGCTCGAATATTGCGAACACGGACACAGAGTCTCAGGTATATAAAGTGCATGAGGGAACCACACAACACTCTCAAAGTCATCACTTACAATAGAGGTGATGCTCGTTTCACTTTTCGGCATACCTTTATTAAATGTTAAGGGTTCTGATGGCGACAACTTCTATCAAATTTTGGACACTCCATGTGAGAATTACTTTACTGTACTTTTCCGATCCAGTGGCCATCTGAGTTCTAGACATTCGGCCTGTTGTTGTGAGTAGAGAGGAATGAGGGATTGTGTCCTGCCCCTCAGGACAGCCTGAGGGGATCTAGTGTAGGCACCAAATAAAGAACTAAATTAACCTTAAGATTGATCTTTATCACTTTATCATCGTCCACATTTTATTTACTCATGATAATAAAAATCATCATTATCATCATCATTGTTACTGTCATCATCATCATTAGTGTAAATCGTCAAAGTTATTTAATAATACTAATAATAATAGATAGCATTTGTTTCACACACATTCCCTCTCAACAACAAAAATTATCTAAATTATCTGTGATATTCGGAACAGTATAATTCTTACAACTACCAAATAAACCCACTATTCATAACTTACCAGTATTCTGCACCGAATCAGGACATGAGACAAAAAAAAAAAGAATAAGAGGGCACAGAGCAGCTGTCAGTGTTATCAGCTCAATTTCTGAGAGGGGAAATTGTCAGCTATCTCCATCTTCCTGCTGGGTTGGGCCTGATTGGCAGGGTAGAAGAAGCCGTTGGGGGGGGGGGCTCTCTTTGTTGAGAGGTTACAGTGTTCGCCTCTCATTCAATAGGTCCCGGGTTCGAAACCTGACAGCGATGAAAAATATTCTTCTCTGAATATGTTCTCCGTTCACCCCCTTTCCTGTTCTCTAACAATGCTCTGTTGCTTGCATTCGTCTCCACTTTCTGCTCCACATCTCCCACATAATGATCTGAATTGTGTCAATGTGGCTGTAAAACACTTCCACTTGTGGGTGGTTAGCGGGTGCTCTAGTGTGGTTTGCTTCTTCTTTCCTATGAAACGTCTATCGTCCTTGTCTCCCTTTCTTCTTTTTTATGTTTGTTACTCTCTTGTAACACCTCTAATCTTCTGGCGTTCATATGACCTTATGCAGTTGTTGAGAGCGCCGTAAAACCTCAACTAAAACTAAAAGGCATATCCACTTCCACCCATTTTTTTTTCCTGAGCAGGTGTGTTCCATCCTGTGGTCTAAGGAGCACAAGGAGCTCATCTCTGGCCACGGCTACTCCCTCAACCATCTACGCATCTGGAAGTACCCAACCATGACACGCGTGGTGGATCTTGTGGGTGAGTGGGAC